TACTATGGAAGTCAATGGCAACCACCAACTGTTTGATTACCAGCAATCTTCAAAATATCTTCTTTTGTGTTCAACATAAGAAAGCAACTCATACAGGTTTGGAACGACATGAGGGTGAGTAAATGATGACAGAATTTTCATTTTTGGGTGAACTATCCCTTTAAGTACAATTAAGCACACTTTGTTTTCACAAGGGTTGCCTTTTCTGCTGAAAATTTTAACTAATAGCAAAACAAATGTTTTGGCAAACTTAAATTTGACACATATTCAGAATCTAACCAATTCCAAATGGATCAAACATTCTACCTACATTTGTTTTTCATGTTGAAGATCCTTTTCCTTTTTTCTGTCACATTACCGTATATTATAAATATTATAAGTACATTAAAAGTAAATTGTGTTGTAAACGACAAAAGTTTAGAGGAGTAATAATCCACAAGAATGTCAGTGGATAATTTAAAATGAAGATTGATGTACATATAGCTACATATATCAAGTTTACCACTGGGAAATGGGAAATGAATTTAACGCTCATTTTCTTACTCAATACAGGCATTCTTTCTTCAGTTGGTGTGTTGTGCAAGGCCACATCAGACGGTTGCCAAGGCACACTTGTCTTAGCATGCGTGTCACCATGGCTCCTCTCCTGGTTAAACAATAAATACCTGCAGCTCATGTAACTGAGTGAAGCTTTTTAAATACTAGGTGGATCAGCTTCACAAGTTCACTTTATGCACTTTAAAGCAATATTTATTTTAAAGCAATATTGGGGGTTCAATACAAGTTAAGCTATGTTGACAGCATTTGTTAAATACCACAAAACTTAATTTCCGATTTTCCACTATTTGTCATTAAATAAATAAATAAATAAATCTGGGTTACAGGCATGTACAATGAAAGTAAATGGGGCCAATTTTAGTTAAAATACTTTTTCATTATAGCCACAAGATGTAAACAATATGTTAACATGATTTTAGTGCGATAAAATCGATTATTAACCTTTTCTGTGTAAAGTTGCGTTGCATCCAAAGTGTTAAACTTTGTTGCCTTTACAATGTAACGCTGTAGACCTTTAACTACCACAAAATTAAAAGAACAGTATTATAGGTGAAATAATACATAAGCTTTAACAGTGTTTAATGTAAGTGTTTTATATATAATAATAATAGTTTTTGACAGAAAAAAGCAAAGTGTCAGCTTTCAAATTATTTAAATATTACAATTGTACATTTATACTCCAAACCATTGTTGAGATTTAATATTAGAAATACTGTCAATCAGAAAACTGTATTTTGGAAAAATCACCTCTAAAAAATTCAAAAATGTAATTTTTTTTTAATACAAATTATCTGACAAAATTAGCAGATTTAATCAATTATAATATAATACAATATAACATAATATAATATAACAACAATATAATATAATAATAATAATAATAATAATATATCTGTGCAGGTAAACATGATGTTAGCTTTTATATATAATAAAAATAATTAAAAAAAAAAAAAAAAAAAAAAAATATATATATATATATATGACTTTGTTATAAATAATACCTTTATATCAGATGGTTTAAACAAACAAAATAGTACACAACAAAAACAGTTTGTTTGATCTGCCGATCGTCGACCTGCGCTAGCCCTAGGACTATTCTTGTGTTTTGCCCACCATATACCTGTTTGCCTGTGTTCTGACCCTGCCTGTGATGACCACGTCTCTGTCTTCTGCTAAATAAAGCTTTGCATATGGATCCACACGTCTCACGTCTCGTCAGCCCCGTAACATAGACATGGCTTGAACAGCTTCTAATAGTTATTCTATTATTAATTAATAGTTAATAACTGTCATAAACAATAGCAGTTAAGTTTAGAATACAAACATAAATGTGTGGTTGGAAGGATCTTGTGCATGTTATTTAGATGCCTATAATTCAAATGCCAATTTATATCTTTTTTGTTTTCAGTTGAAAAGCAAAGTGATGACCCCGAGACAATGATAACACACACACACACACACACACACACACACACAGTATATGCCTTTTGAGTCAGGACTTCATCTTGAATTATTGTCATTCAATTCGCAGCACATTTCAAGTGGCTGAGGGCAGCAGAGAGAAGAATCATCATAATTGGTTTGTTTTTCAGATCAGATGATCAGCCTAAATTGCAGTGTTCATCACCGGCTCCTCACCAGCATAACCTCTGTGTAAAAATTAAAACCTTGATCTCATTTTTAATTGAGCGCTATTAATATCCACAAAACCAGAGGCCACCGCAGATGCCTCTTTATCTTCACTCTTTAATGTGCAAAGCAGATGAATTCATTTTCCCATGACTGAGCTTTCAAAGACCTCCCCGCCATTATTGGTCTCTGCTCTAATGTTGTAATTTGTCATGCTCTTGTATTGTATTAAATACACAACATTTCCAAATGTTATAATGCTTTATTTTGTTGAAAAGGCTGTAAAAGTTTTTATCAAAGTTATGTTGTAACTTAATACTTATAATAACTTAATAATAATTAAGTATCCAAATAATCATGACTACATAACGTGATTTGTCTCTATTTGATTTGTCTTTTTATCTCTGCCTTTTTAATTGCTCTCTCATCACACACAAACACACACACACAATTCAATTCAATTCAAGTTTATTTGTACAGCGCTTTTCACGATACAAATCATTGCAAAGCAACTTTGCATCAAATTATGTTTCTACAATATTTAGTGGTAGCTTATCAGTGGTGACTGTCAGTTAATGTACATATGGCAGAAATGTACGGAAAAATCAATTAAAGACGGTATTATATATAAGCTTGTTTCCCCATGGGGACCTCATTTTACCCCACGAGTCCCCATGAGTTGGTGTGTATTCAAGTCCCCACCGGGATAGAAAAACATGTACGTACACACACACACACACACACACAGACACACACACATTTTTTGGGGATGTATTTCTAACATACTGTAAAGAATCTGCAAATCTGCACATTTCCTAACATAGCAAACCACCCCCATCTTGTGGTGGCCATGAAATGTCCTGTCCAATCCCAGATGTACCTTTCAAATCTCACATTTTTCAATCTCACATTCCCCATAGATTTTTTTTCCAAAATATTTGTGATACAAAGATAAATATAGGAAGATATGGAGCAATTACAATTTTGTGTTACACACACACACACACAAAACACAAAAAAAAAAAAAAAAAATATATATATATATAATGTCTCCAAAAACTTAGTTTTTTAATACCCAGCAAACACAGAATATTATCGTTGGTTATTTTATTTATTTATTCATTTTATTTTATTTTGTATTATTATTTTATTTTTTGGAAATAAATAATGACATACTAGGGATGTTCTCTTGTGGTCTTGTAATCAGAATGTTGCAGAGGGCCAGGTTTCTCTGTGTGTGTGTGTGTGTGTGTGTGTGTGTGTGTGTGTGTGTGTGTGACAAACTAAAAACAGCATATACAGAATGATCTCTAATGGTTATTTTTAGGATTTATTTTATAATTTATAAAAATTATTTTATTTTATTTTAGTTCTGGGAACTAAAAATTGTTAGCTGGGTGGAAACATTTCCATATTCGTGAATATTTATAAAACATGTCTGATTAATTATTTTTGTATTTAAGGGTTGTAAACCATTCTAAGAAAAACAAATAATCATGATGAAATGAAAGCAGGAGGTTGCACCCAAACATAGAAAATAATGATTAAACAGAAGGATGCTTGACCGCTTGAAATACTGACGCTGACCCAATTTAACGGCCGTTTGCCAGAGGTTACCGTCAGTGTCAGCCGTTTCAACGTCCCGCCTACCTGAGATCCATTTTTACACCTTCATTGATCTGTGATTGACAGGAGAGAAAGAAGAATGAAGACAGAATGAATGGTGCCTACTAGTCAACAAGCATCACTGCCCAGTGAGTCAGAGCGCATGCGCAGTGCTGACGCTCTGGATGCTGCTCAATATAGAAAAGCAACCTGCCTGTTCGCCAAGGTAACGCTTCAAAGCAGAAGAAATGTCTCGAAATAGTGCATCAGAAATGCAAGATGGAATGTGTATTGCCAGCCAAATGACAAAATGTGCGGACGCCGATGCTTCTCCGCGCTCCGATGGTTTCATCTTCGGTCCACAATGCCATTTGCTTAACTGACATACGAGGATACAGACATAAATAGTCATTGATAAAGGAAAATCAAGCGAATCTACAAATATGAACGGCACGTTGCTTAAAAAGCGAAGGCTGGACTGTGTGTATGCGGTGTTGTTGTGGCTCCATAACGCTGTGTGGATATGCTCTTCAGCGTCCGAAGACCACCGTTTCAGCGTTGAGGTAAGACTGGCCCAACATCAGCATCAGCATCTTCTGCTTGAGTCATGAACACAAAAACGTTTGTTGAGAATACGCGTCCTGCTTTTACTGAGACCTACAAAAACAGAATATATTGCAGGTCATAAATAAATCAGGACAGCATTTGCACAGAATCACATTGCATCACTTGGTGGATCTGCACCATGTCCCGTCTGAATGTGTGCTATGGTATATACAGCTATTCTGTTCCAGTCTAGTCTATTCTAATCTGTACTCAGTAGACAGTAATGCAACCCTGTTCTGTTATTCAGTATACCTAGTAAACAGAAATAGTCTGGTTTAGCCTACTCAGTAATTATGTGCACTGAGTAGAGTAGAATGCAATTCTATACTGTTCTATTCTGTATACAAAGTAAAATGAATAGAATAACATAAAAATAGACTCGACTGGAATGGAAGAGAATAATATAATTTCTGTTTACTTTGTATTACAGAGCAGAACAGAATAATAGATAATTCCTGTTTAGAATATCATTCCTGTCTATAGAAAAGTATAGACTTTCATTCCTGTCTACTTATTACACCAAATTACAAAATAGAATAAAGCGGATTAGGGTACACTTGCTCATGGAATAGAATGCCTCTGTAATACAAAGTAAACAGGAACTATGTTATTCTATTTTCTATTCTATTCTGTGATTCTGTGTACTTAACAAAAATCATTTCTGTTCTGTAGTACTAAGTAAATTGAAATGTTATTCTGTTCCATATAGCCAAGTCTATTCTGTTATTCGGTGTACTGAACAAAATAAAATAACATTCCTGTTATTATTAGATTAGATTAGACTTAACCAGAATATAATAGAATGCTGTTATTCTATAGAAAGTAAATAGGAATGCCATTCTATTCTGCCGTTCTTAGTAGTAAGTAGACAGGAATTCTATTCGAATATTATTGCAGCCTATTCTGTAATTGTGTACTGAGTAAGCATGAATTCTATTCTGTTCAGTTCTATTCTCATTGATGGACAGCAATGAGATCAGAACACTGATCGTACACTGTTGCGCAATTTAATTCACAAGCTCTTAACAGTGCAGACCAGAGGCATTAGTGTGAGAGAGATCGGCAACAATCAGAGATATTGCTCCTTCCTCCAGTCCAAATCCATTAAAAGATGACAATCACACGCCTCTGACTGGCCATGCGACGATCAATGGGGTGATAGGGGAAGCAAGACCTTGATTCATTCAGTGGTACTCAACCGCAGACTCTTGCAAATGTAAAGCACATAAAGATTATGTAAGATGCTTAGCAGCTCTCCCCCAAACTCCTTTGGGCTGGAATGGGCGCAAATGTGATGTTTAGTGCCGCTGGCAGCGCTGGTTGACATTGAGAGAATTTGTCACCTGCCCGGTTCTGTTTGGCTGGGAGGCGAGAGTTGTAGAGGGCGCTGTGCCAGTGGATCAGCTCATGGTGGTCATGGTATTGTCATGATAATATTGATGCTTTTTTAGAGCAGGCTGTATTGATGAAACTGTCTTTCACAAAATTACAATAACACCAGTGGGACAGAACCATATGAATGCTAAATTAGTGATCTTCGCTTTCTTGGTAACTAGAACCTCTTTCTTCTTTTCAGCTCTCTGCCACCCATGTAGCTCCTGTGTGGGTTTTTTGCTGGCAGGGCTGCAGTGGTTGGCAGCAGTTGTGAGTTGAGTGCACAGGTCAGTGGTCTTTGGGGAAGAGAGAGATTGTGTGTGTGTGTGTGTGTGTGTGAGAAAGATGAGTAATGACTGCTCGGAGGGGGAACCTCTGATCCTGAACTAGGAATAGACTACAGAGTGCAAGGTTCAAGGATTCAGTGGTGAAATCAAGATTGGGCCCCCCAGGGCATTAATTATGCACGTCTTTCACATACAGGTACAAATGTGCTTAGCTTAGTGCTAAGTTGGTAATGACATTTCATGTAGCTCTGGCTCTATATGTGATAAATAGGGAGTCAGGGGTTGTTGCTATGTGCTATTGACCACTGAGATGATGTAAATACTCATACATCTTATTAAAGGTTTGGATAAAAGGTTGTGGGTTTTGTGGCTGATAGAAGTGGGCATAAATGTACAGTACCTTAATCGATTTAAATGAAGTTTTAAATGCATTTGAATCTGTCATGATGTCGTAAAGGGAGGAGGAGTAAAGCAGGCTGTGATAATTATTACTGCTGCTTGCTAAACATTTGTGCTGTCCCTCCTTTTCTTTAAAAAAGGGTTGCAGTGAACCACCAACACACTCTCAGGGCAGTTTTTAACTTTTTTTTTTGGCGAATTGGTGGCAAATGCATATGCTTTAATATAATCTCTTTTGTACATTTGCATATGATCTGCTTACTCCCCTCTGAGAGTCATGTTTAGGGGTGGACCTTTATGGGTTTTTTTTTCCTAAAAATCATGTTTTCATATAAATCAAATTGTACAAATTCATACAAATTCACCACCAATTCGCCAAGATATAGTTTTCTTGTGAGACTGGGTCTGAAGCACTTACAATGGGAGTAAATGAGAATTGGTAAGTATTAAAATACTCATTGTTTCAGTATAGCCACATAAACAATATGTATTAAAATCATACAAATTCAAATGAAATCACTGAATGCATTCACCCCCAAACATTAACTAATTACATTTTTTCTTGAGATCGGGTTGGAAGCACGTGGAATGAAAGTGAATGGGGCAATCGGTAAATATTAAAATACACTGTTTCAGTATTATAGCATTGTAAACGATATGCATTCAAATTCATCAATACAAAATCATACAAATTCACCACCTATTTGGCAAAACATTACATAGTTATATTTTCTCATGAGATCGGATTATAGGCACTAAAGTACAACCTGTATCAGTAATATAGCCACGTAAACAATATGCATTTAAATGAAAAAAAAAAACCTTCTAACTAACTTTTACTGTGTAAAGTTTTCCATTTGTTGATTTTTATTTTTTCAAAATGATGAGTTTAACTTGTATTGAACATGGAATACTCTTTTAGATTGAAGAAGAGACTTGAACACCTTAGCAATGACCTAGAAACATCTTAACAGCCACTTGCATCATCTTACAGCCAACCACGTCCAAGTTAAAAAGCACTTAGCAACTACATAGCAACATCTTGGCATCCATCCACAACAACCTAGCATCGTAACTGTAAGCTTTGCATGGGCAAGCACCAAAAATCTGTTTGAATGTTGCTAGTAGAGAGTGCAAATAAACCAATTTTCACAGTATCGTTGACTCATGTGGGCCTGAAACCTGTTTCAGCTCATAATGCACACCATGCACACAATCATGTGCTTACAGCTGATTAAAGGCATAGAAAGTGGATGAAAAGGGGTTGTTTGGCTCAGCAGGAACTTGCAGAAAGAAAAAGGGAAAGAGGGCGAGATGATTAGTGGGCAGACTATGTACAATAGCAGTACTTGAGGTTTTACCTCTCTATCATTGGTTAGTTCTGCCACTGACCCCAAGGAAACTGATGGCGTTGCACTCAGGGGGAAATATGGCAGCTTGTTTGCACAAAGAAGTGTTTGCCTGGAAACAGTAGCACCTTTTTGGATGCAACTGCATTTCAACATACTGACTCCTGTAATTGACTTCATTGATTGGCTTTTGCTGCAAGATGCACATGAGAGAAGTGAGTGTGTGTGTGTGAGAGAGAGAGAGGGTCCAAAACCTCTTTATTGCTTTAAAACAAAATCAAAATCAAAAACAAAAACAATACAACCAGTTCAAACAATTCCAAAGTACATAGTAAATATACACAGTATATATATATATAAATACTGTATATATATATATATATATATAGAGAGAGAGAGAGAGAGAGAGAGAGAGAGAATTAGTGAAAATTAGCTACAGAGAAAGAACAAGTGAGAAAATTCTGCAGTGGAAAGAGAAGAAAGACATGCTCTCTTAAGCAGAAACAGATGAAGTTGTACCCTGACTAGTTTATGTTCATGCAAAACATATAGTATACAGTAGAGTAAAATGTTAGTTATTTAATGGGAATCACTATATTTTATTTGATAATTTTTTGACATACAACTAGGAACAATATATTGTACACAAAATGCCACACTATAATGACTGTAATAGACAGTATTGTTTGCACTCAAAGCTATTTTGTATATTGTTTTTGTTTTCTAACAAAAACTTTTACAGCACAGCATTGCAGATATAAAGTGTTATTTTATTTGATGTTTAAAATTTTATGTTGTTTTATTACAGCTTTTATTAATATTTCGAATCAGTTTTATTTTGAAATTTTCTGATTTCATTTTTAATTTTAGTTAAAATTTTTGTAATTTTGTGTTTTTAGCATTTTTGTTTTTGCATTTTTTTATATGTTTAAATAGTTTTTATTCATTTTATTTCAGTTTTAGTTTAAGTTATTTTAGCACATCAAGTTAAACTAAATTAAAATGAGAAATGCTGCCTTGGCAATTATCTGAACTATTTTTTAAAATATATATTTTATTTTATTTCATGTAACATTTATTTTATTTCAAGTAATGATGAAAAGTTTTGTTTAATGGTTTGAATTTTATTTTCATTTTTAGTTTTAGTTATATAATAACTCTGATATAAATGACTAAGCATTAACTACAGTTGAAACACACCTTGAATGTGACTGTACTTATAGAATATGTAAAAGCACACAGTCTCATCTCTGTATATGAAACTGCAGCCTCTCATCAGATGTCTCACTCAAGACATCATGCATTTATGATGGATTTTTCATCTTACTGGATACACTCAAGGGTCTCCATAAGGAACACGGTTGTTCCAACGACTTCCAGAAGGATGTTTTTAATCATCATCTCGTCATGTCCTTTTTCTGCCTGTTTCTGCCATCTGGTATAAATGTGGCAGCAGCTTCTGGGTAATGATCATTTTCATGTTGTCATGGTAGGGTGAGATTGTGACAGGATGCACACCACCACCTGATGACTAAGCACTTTGAACAT